CTTGAGAAAAAAACATATAAATTTATTTATTTTCACGAATAAAAGTTCTTGTTGGAGAGTTTGGTGAAGAACGAGAGTGTCAATTGACTAAATATTTAGAATTCAATAAAATTTAGGAAATATTGACATCACCAGATACGGGTCAATATGTATGATATTGGGGGCAACTGCCCCACCAAGTTATTTATTTTATTATAAATTATTTTTAAAAAATTATTTTTCAGACAATGAAACACAATTAGTACCCCAATATTGAAGAATTAAGTATAAATAAATTATTGAATAGTTGTTTTGTTACATTGTAAAAAGAAAAATAAAAAGAAAAATTTTGATAACACATTGATTTTTTTTTTGTATATATTTAAGTATTTTTTATTTTTTCAGACATAAAATAACAATATTTTAATATTTTAAACTTTTATACACAATAATTAATTATTTTAATATTTATATATTTTTATATAAATATTTATAATGTATATATATTTTGCTCTCTCTAACTAATATTTCTAAATCCGTCTCCAGATATCACCTATCCATTAAAAAAATTAAAATATCAAATATATTCATCATTAGTTTTATAAATCTAATATTTTTATCATTTTTAATTGGTATAAGATTTAATTACTGACACCTGAATTCAACTCATTAAAATCTCCCTTCTATACTGATATTGATAATTAGTATTATTTAAAGAGTTTAAAACATTCTATTTGTGTTTATGTCGTCATTCAATCAAGTCAAATAAATCACGACTAAAATCTTTGATATCACTCTAATTGATAATTAACAAACAAAATTCTTTCGACTTGCAAAAATTTCTAAAACGTAAAACACACACACACACACACACACACACACACACACACACACACACACACACACACACACACACACACATATATATATATATATATATATATATATATATATATATATATATATATATATATATATATATATATATATATATATATATATATATATATATATATATATATATATATATATATATATATATATATATATATATATATATATATATATATATATATAATGAACATAATAAAATAAATGGTCATGCTAATTTGTGTCCCAAAGACACAAGTTAAAAGATAAATATAGTAAAAAAAAATTGAAAATTGTGTTGTAAATTTATTACAACTTTATAATTAGTGATTTTATTATTCTTTTTCATAAAAATTTTCTATTTATGAGTTTTAAACTTATAGCCTACAGGCACAAGTTTGCATTATGGTGTACAAATAAGATTAACAATCAGCCAAAATAATAAATCACATCAACTACCTACCCATTAATGAAAATACCACCATTCTCCCTAATTTACCCTTCAATTATTTTTACTTAAGACTAGATCATGCCCTTTTTGGTAATTTACTAAATACAAAATAATTGACCAATAGCATGGTACAATTTTCCCAAGTGGCAGATGTTTTTTTGAAAACTCTTGTCTTCCCTCTTTCCCTCACCTTCTCCCTCTTTTCAATTTTCTTCCTCTCTCTTTCCTAGTTACTCTTTCTTTCTCTTTCCACAGTACTTCCATTTTCTCTCTACCCCTTTCTCTTTTCCTATCAAACCCTAGCGGGTTTATCACTCTCATTGCTGCTACACGACCATCTCGATTGCAAAAGGTATGTTTTTCCCCTCTTCTATTGTTCTTTCTTTCATGTCCTCTTCTTCTTATATTCATAGTAGATTTTGTTGAAAAAAATTTGCTGTTATGTTCTTTAATTTTTGTAGTGTTTCAATGAAATAAGTGGCTTGGAAGGAATGGTTACACGATTGTGGAATTTGTTAGATGCTGGTGAGTGTTTGAAGTGGTTTTTGACGGTTTGTGATTATGGATCAGGAAAGAAACAATGGAAGAATAGTTTCTAAGTTTCTGGTTTATGGTTTTTCTGGTTTTTGGTTTTTTGTTTTAACTTTTAACATAGCTTTAGCCTTGTACATTTTTTTCTTTCGATTTTAGGGTTTTAATTTTTCTGATATTTCTCTGTTCTGTCTTCTACAGTTTTGGTTTTGTGTTTTGATTTACGACTTACAATTTACATTGTTTAATTTGTGTTTTAGTTTACGACTTACAATTTACATTGTTTAATTTGTGTTTTGGTTTATGACTTACAATTGTTCAAGTTCTAATGTCACTGCGCGATCTATCTGCTAATTTTTTGATCAATTTTGTTTTTGTTGTTTTATGGTTACACTATTGGTTTATTTGTATGCTGTTGTTGTGATTTGTTGAAGCTGATTTGATTGAGAATTTGGATATGATAAATCGTCGTATTGATGTGTTTGAATTTTGCTGAATGAAAACAGGTATCTGGACCTGTCGTGGTTGCAGATGGCATGAATGGGGTTGCTATGTATGAATTGGTGTGTGTCGGTCATGATAATCTCATTGGTGAAATTATTCGTTTGGAAGGGGATTTTGCCACTATCCAAGGTTCTGCATAACTTCTACACTATGATGATACAGATTTATTAATTGATAATTCATGATTTTCTAAGTTTTAATTGAAACAAATCTGTTTGTTGTATGCAATTTCAGTTTACAAGGAAACTGCTGGGTTGACGGTTAATGATACGATGTTACGTACACACAAGTTTGGATTCTATATTCATTTTTCTCTTATTTTGATTGTGTTTGTTGTTGCGTGATTTGATTTGATTTGATTGATAAGCGGTATGTCTTTTGATAGCCTTTGTCTGTGGAGTTGGGACCTGGAATATTGGGAAATATTTTTGATGGAATTCAGGTTTGTCTTTTTTTTTAGACATTTGGTCGTATTTTATATTTGATTTCAATTGGCGTCTAATTTGAATATTTTGCTAACTGCGACAGAGGCCTTTGAAAACTATTGCAAGAATATCTGCTGATGTCTATATTCCCCGTGGTGTCTCTGTTCCCGCACTTGACAAAGATACACTTTGGGAATTTCAGCCTAAGAAAATTGGTACATATTGTTCCATTTTATGGTGAAGTTTTATGCAGAAAACAAATATTATATGGTCCATATATTCTGATATTCTATTTTATTACTGGGGACAGGTGAAGGAGACTTATTAACTGGCGGAGACTTATACGCTGTATGTTTTCTATTCAATTAGGTTAGCTTATGAGTTTTTATTTGTAGATTTTTTTCCTGATTCTTTGTGTGGATTATTTACGCAGACTGTTTTTTAGAACAGTTTAATGGAACACCGTGTTGCACTTCCTCCTGATGCCATGGGAAAGGTTACCTATGTAGCACTAGCTGGACAATATTCATTGAAGGTTTGTCATTTAAATTTATTTTCTATTGTTTATTTAGCTATATATATCTATTATAAGATCTTTCTTAAGTCCATTATTTCATTTTTATGTTTGGAATATGTTTGCAACCTCTCTTTGTCCATGCTTCATATTTATATATTTATTATGTTAGCTTTGCCAAGCTTAAATGTATTTATACATATTTTTTCCTGCATTCTCGAGCTTCTCTATATCTACTGCAATATTTGGTAATATTTTTCCATTATTTGCAGGATACTGTGTTGAAGCTTGAGTTTCAAGGTGTCAAAAAGAAGTTCACCATGCTTCAGGTTTATGGGCCATCTCTTTATTTTTTTTGTTGCTTTATTGAATTATTGGTCTTCCTTATCCTTCATTATAACATAAAATAATGTACCCATTTCAGAGTTGGCCTGTACGTACACCAAGGCCTGTTGCCTCAAAACTTGCAGCTGATACTCCTCTTCTTACTGGTCAGTTAAGCTCAATTTTTATTCTGTTTCTTGTGTATGATACAAATCAGATATTTTTGTGCCTAATGACTTTTGTTTTGTGTAGCATATTCTTGATGCTCTTTTCCCCTCCGTACTTGGTGGGACTTGTGCCATACTCGAAGCTTTCGGTTGTGGGAAAACAGTCATTAGTCAAACTCTTTTTAAGGTGATCCTAACACACCATGTCATGACACAATGGTAATGTAATTATAAAAATTTTCAATAATTCAGTAGAGCTCTTAATTCTTCCTTTTTTGCCTCTTTGACAGTATTCAAATTCTGATGTTGTTATTTACGTTGGTTTTGGAGAACGTGGAAATAAAATGGCTGAGGTATGCTTTCTTTTAAGTTATTTCTATGAAATATTTGTGCTTGTTGGTATTCGTATGGTAAAATCATTTTAATGATTGTCCAGGTTCTGATGGACTTTCCACAACTTACAATGACATTACTTGATGGCCGTGAAGAATCTGTCATGAAGCGTACAACACTTGTGGCTAACACTTCAAACATGCCAGTGGCTGCTCGTGAGGCTTCAATTTATACAGGTGATTTCCTACTTCATAAAATCTAAATCTTCTTTTTGTTCATGAAATTCAATATTTGGAATGTCAAACTGTGCATATAATTGCAATAAGTAGTGTTTCTCAGCACCTGTTATTTCTGGACAGTTAGCTGCGCTTAATTTGCGCTTAGTGTGAAAATTAATGAGGGTCTAATATATGCATATTGATATGCCACTTTATATTCCACTAGCTCCTACCTGAGCTGAAACTTTATATATTAACAGTCCTTATAACGAGATAGTTTGTCATGTGTGTTGTATGTGAGTTTTAATACTTTTTTCAAACTATATATTATATTCTAATTATTTTGTTTTCAAATCTCAGGAATCACTTTAGCTGAGTATTTTAGAGATATGGGTTACAATGTCAGTATGATGGCAGATTCAACATCTAGATGGGCAGAAGCATTGCGTGAAATCTCAAGACGATTGGTGAGAATTTCAATTATCTAGTTGCGGTTGTTCACCGGTTTCTTTTAGAAATAATTTGTTTCTTCTTCGTTTTGGAGATTTAGTTTCTAATGTTGGAGTTTCTTTCTCCACTGATGTTAAATATATAGATTTATACATAATGACTAATGAGACACATGGGGGAACATGGGCATTAATCATTGTAAATTGATGATATTGTTGTTTTCCATATGCTGAAATGCCTGCTGATAGTGGATATCCTGCTTACCTTGCTGCACGTTTAGCTTCTTTCTATGAACATGCTGGGAAAGTAAAATGTCTTGGAGGTCCTGAAAGAACAGGTAGTGTAACAATTGTTGGTGTTGTTTCTCCACCTGGAGGAGATTTCTCAGATCCTGTGACATTTGCAACCCTCAGCATAGTTCAGGTAATATTATACTGTCAAACATACGTTTATCAAAATATAAGACAACTTCCTGCAAATAAATTTCGCATTTGGTTGCCTCCCCAATTCTCATAAATACTTAAAACCCTGGGTGTCAATCATCACTATGATCCATTTAGTTGTTTCTTCTCTTACTGATTCTTTTAGAATTTGTCATGTAAGTTGATCTTTTTCTACTTTGCAGGTTTTCTGGGGTTTGGACAAAAAACTTGCACAAAGGAAGCACTTTCCTTCTGTGAATTGGCTTATATCTTACTCAAAGTACTCAATGGTATGTCCTAGAGTTGGTATCTGCCCAACTCATGTTTTCTCTTAAGCTGCCTTCATTTGTAATGGATATAGTTTGTGCTTGGGATCCCAAATATCATGATTTCCTAATATTTTCTATGGTATCTTCAGGCACTCGAATCCTTTTTTGAGCAATTTGATCCAGATTTTATAAACATTAGGACAAGGGCTCGCGAAGTTCTGCAAAGAGAAGACGATCTTAATGAGATTGTCCAGGTGTGTTCCTTTGCAGTTAATCATCTTGTTGTACAATAATCATATTGTTGGTGTGGTTGTAAGTTCAACTAGAGCTGGATTATAACAATAAGTAACTGCTAAAAAGATATCAACAAGGTAAATTGACTGATCCTTATCTATGTGATGAGATTCAATTGAAATAAAAGATGTTTTATGTTGGAAAGTGAATTTACCTATATTTTTTTGAGATGCCAAGACATGAAGCTATTAAAGCCCTTGAAGCCTATAAACGCGCGAGACAACATGTGATAATTTGTTTCTCTAATTGTTAACTTCTAGGCTTTTACATTTTTAATTTCTGTGGTTCTAAAATACCATTTCCAGGCAGCAAGCCTTTCTGATTTCTACGAGGATTGCAGAGGATTGGAACTTGCTAGGTGTCGCTACTGCGAAAATCGGCGCCGGCTGACAGAAGAGTCGCCACCGTGCGTTATTTATCCCTCAGAGCGGGAAAGGAAACGCTCGAAGTAAACCTCGCAAAAACGGGGAAAAGGTATGGTCATCGCAACCATAGCCTGGGTTCGGGAGTCGGTTACGCAAGGGGAAGGTATTAGCACCCCTCACGTCCGTCGTACTCGACGGGATCCACGCTTGCTTGGGTTGTCTACTGGGTGCAAAACAATCTTATCTACGGCTGCTAAATCTAAACAGAAGGGAATTGACTCAATAGAACGTCGCACTCTATGCCTACGTATTCTCGAGAGAGAAAGTCAGAGTCAACGTAGTTCGGGACTACAGGGAAAATTGGCTCGCCAAGACCTCGCGTCTTGTGCCTACGTACTTCCACTGGAGGGAAGATCAGAGCTTTACGTAGTTCAGACTAACTACGGCTAAACAAACATTTTCACACAGCAGTGAGAAAAACAACTGGTTTCACAGGGTCGGGAACCTATGGTCAAAACTATGGCTCGGTCTCAAATGCACTCGGGCAAGAGAGAAAAAGGGCATCAATTAATCGTCAGCGGGAAAGTCTCGATCGCACAGCCGCGAGAGAACAAAAGTTAGTCGTTAGTATGCTCGCTAGGATATCGCATCCTATGCCTACATATCTTCGTCTGGTACGAAGAATCAGAGCAGCTGTAGTTCGGCTACTACGGGACCACAACTCAAATCTCGTTTTATTAATATCTGAAAAAATGATTACAATGGTTGCATACTGCAAATAAACTCCTAGGAAACGCTATCCTATTCTATCCTAAAAAATCGAATGAAAAATAGCCCCCTAACAAATGGGCTTCTAAACTATCCTAAAAAGATGTAAAATAAACTCGGTGAAAATATCTAAAAGAAAATGCACTTTAAAAATATTAAATCGAGACTTTAATATTTTTTTCTTTTCTCTTCCTTTTTTTCAACATTTTTTCTCTTCATATTTTCTTTCTCACACTTTCTTCTATTTTTCCAAATATATTTCCTTTCTTTTTCTATTTTTCAAATATATTTTCTTTTCATTTTTTTTCTATATTTCAAACATATTTTCTTTTCACTTCTTTTTTTCTATTTTTCAAACATATTTTCTTTTCATTTCTCTATTTCTTTTCAAATCTTTAAAAGAAAAAAAAATACAAGAAAAGGGGCTGGGGGTGTAACTGTCTACAAGGGTGTTAATCAGAAAATAAAAAAACTGGGATTGGGCCCAGCCCAATAACTGGCTTCAGCCAGAAAAAACGTGGGGGGGTGCGTGAGTAATCTGGGTGTTGGCAAGAAAAAAAAGCAGTAGGGCCCAAGGCCCAGAACTTGCCCAAAAACGTGAGGGGCGTGTGTGAAAAAAAAAAAAAGAACTGGGCCCTGAGGCCCACTCTCCTCTCCCAAGTCCCTTTCTGAAACCCTAGCTCTGTCTCCCTTCTCTCATCAGCGCCGCCGTCAACTTCTGCACTGTTCACTCTCAGCCTCTCCCTCTCCTTCTCAAGCATCGTTCCTTAGTCTCATTCTCAATCTTTCTCCCAAACTCATTCTCTCTATCAATCTTCTCCTTCGTTCAAACATGAACTTGAAGATCTGGAGTGGATTGCATGTGGAGGATATTCGATGCTCTTGACAGAAGACTCTGGTGATGATGAGCTTTCTTGATGATCTTGTGGATGAAGATGAAGATTAGAGATCTTGGACCTTGAAAGGATGTCCTTCGCATGTTGAGGATTTGAAGAAATCTCCAGAAAGTGTCTATAGTTGATGATTAGATGGTGGTTGAAGATGAATGTTGAGAGGATCTGGGTGAAGGTTGCTGGTTGAGTGATAATTCTGAAGTTTGTGTTGAACACGGTTGAAATCTGGAAACGATGGAGGATCATCTGCTCTTGAAGTTTCTTCTGGAGATCCATGTCTGGATGAAGCTTGTGACGGGTTTGAAGATGAAGGTGGTTGGAGGTCACGAAGATCCTGGACGAACTGAACTTCTAGTGATTGGAGGTTTTCTGGAAACGGCGGTGGTTTCTGGGGAAGATCATGAAGATGAACAGATCGTTGATGATGATGATGAAGACGGAGGATGAACATTGGTTGAAGATTCAAGCCGTTCTGGGGAGATTAGCGGCGGCCGGAAGCAGATCGGAGGTTGGACGAAGGTGCCTGGAGAAGATGATGAAGGGAGGAGGTTTCTGGGAACGTTGATGTTTCCGGCGGGGGTTGGTGGTGGCCGCCGGCCATGCAGGCCGGCCGGTGAGGCTTTTCCGGTGAAGTGGTGTGGAGCGTTGATGGAGGGACACGTGGTAACGATGGTGGAGTGGGTCTCTGCATGTGGGACGCGTGTCCCACGCGTGGCTGAGAGAGAGGCCTGAATGGGTGATGGCGTGGCGTGCTGTGATGCAGAGATGTGGGACCGTCCTCGAGCCAACACGTGGCTTCCGTTACTTATACCACTGAAATGATCTGGGAGCTTCTAGAAGGCTCTAGAATACGCTGGAATATTTTGGACCTTTTCTGGACATTTTTGCTGAAAATTCTGGACCAAACTTGGACAAAAACTGCATTGGGCCTGCACTGAACTGGGCTGAACGAAAATCATCAAAAAACCACAAAAAACTGCATACAATGGATTAATAAAAATAAAAAGGATTAACCTAATTAAATCTAACACTAATATAATTAAACTCTAATTAAAACTCTAATAAACCCACTAATTAAATTCCACTATTAAATTCTATGAAAAACTATATCTAAAAATAAAAACATCTAATTCCTATTAACCTATTTAATATCTAATATATGAAAAATCTACTTATGAAAAATCTATTTATTTATTATTTCTATAAAAGAAAACTCTATTTATTATATTCTAAAATATTTAATCCCTATTATTTATTATACTAAATCCTAAAAACTATTAAAGCTATCTAAAAAACTATTAAAAAAAATATACTAATATTCTAGAAAATCCTATATTATCCTAAAATGAAAAATGCTATTAAATTCTATTAAAATCCTATTAAATCCTAAAAATGAATTTAAACTCTATTAAAATCCTATTAAATGCCAATAAAATCCGGAAAAATCACGATAATTCCCAGAGGGACAAAATGAGCACCGAACGACACAAAAATAATCGGTAAAAATAAACGGGCACCGAAATAACCCAAAAATCAATTCTACTGATCAAAAACACCTGAAACACGAGACGAGAGCTGTGATCCCTGATAAAATCAATACAAATGCACAATGCAATGTATGCAATATGCAGATGCGAATGCGGTTATGCGTCGAAACATCGAGCCAAATGCGAGACCCGGTTGGTCAAATTTTGGGGTGCAACAGCTGCCCCTATTCAAGCGACTTCGACCTGAATGGGTGAAGAGCGCTCAGCCTTCAAACATTCAAGGTAGATGACGGGTGAATACAAATGGAACTCTGAAATTTTCCAACCGCAAGAATATACTGCAAAGCTGCTTGAGGAATAGCTTCCAATAACTGAAGTTTGGTTGTCACAGCAACATCTGGTCAATTTTCTGATAAATTTTCTTCTCCTTTTCAACACCTGTGTAACGCCACAAGTATTGAAATAATGCTTCGGGAAAGCAAACGACTTGATTCCCATTTCTCTCATGGGATCAAAGCTGGTCAACTCACAGTTCACTGCGAACTTGAGGACAATTCTCCTGGGGGAATTCTGAAGGGAACTGCTTGGCACCTATTCTGACGAAGGGGGCAGCTTCAGAAGTCTGATATATGTCGATCTTCGTTGTTGTTGTTTTTTCCGATGCTGATATAACAACCAAATGAAGAATCACTCCGCTGGGGAAGAGAAGCTGTACCACACAACTCTGCAGGTGAACAAATCCGAAATCCAATAGGTAACCATTCTGGTCCATGTTTCGACATGCGTATGCTTGATAATGATGCAATGCCCTATATGACATGTAAATGTTGTACATTCTGTTTGAAAATGCATTGCCCAGATGGCATGGAAATGCTATATGTTTGATAGATGCAATGACTATATATGCAAATGCTAATGCAAGCTCTAGCTGCCAGAGAACACCAGGTCTGAAAACCACTTGGCAAAATAAATGCCGAAGATAACGTCAACTCTACTGGGGATGACCTGAAGTCACAGAATCGTCTCAGCAAAATAAATGCTGGAAACGGGAAATCAAATCCGCTGGGGATAACTGTCCTGCTGGAGAAATGAAAAGGCAACCCTGCCCGGTGACTTTACTGGGGGAAAGAAAACAACTCTGCTCGGGGATGCTCTCTTCAAACCATTGACAACTGATTGTACTCTGCGGGGATTGACCCAAACTGAGGTTGATTGCGCGCGGCACACTGCTGGAAATGCCCCTACTATCCAGGATATCAATTTTAATCTGCTGAGGATACTCCTGACCCTACTCTGATGCGGGGTAAAATACAATCTCAACTCTTCCGGGGATAATAAGCAACTTTCATCTGCTGAAGAGTAACAATTCTGATTTAACAACGTCCGCAAGGGATTCAAATATTACTCGGAGCACTGATATATGCCGAGCTTCGTATCGGGAAACCTGACAACATGCGGGTCATTGGGAACTACTGCGTCAGATACC